TAGATATGTGTATATTATATAAAATACTTACGTACAAGTAGATACATATGTATTATTTATAACATATGCATAAATGTGCCTCTTCCACGAACTTGAATGTGAAAGAACAAAAATATAGAAGGGAATAAAAGGAGTCCCTTTTTTGTCCTTTTAAAAATAAATAGAAAAAGAAAAAAGGTATTGTAAAAAATAATTCGCCCTTTTAATCTTCCTTCGTACTCTTATTTTTTTTTCCTTTTTTTTTCTTTCACAGTGTTCTTGTCCCATGAAATACGAAAATGAATCAGTGCGTGAAGATTATTAATTACAAACAAATTTCAAAAAAAAAAAAAAATAAAACAAAAAAACGATAAATCGATTCACAGTACTCGATTCACACGCCCATCATTGTTTAAATAAATTAGGTAAAAAAGGGGGTTGAAGTGGGGTGAGGGGGGGGGGGGGAAAGGGACAATGAATTGGGGAAATGGATAAAATTGTAAAATCGATTGACTCTTTAAATGCTTTAAGTGTATTTATTTAAACAAATCCCAACATTCGAAACATTGATAGATGTATATGAGTGTTTATATATGTATTGTATGTGTGTTTGTTTGTAAACACACACGCGCCTTGTGTGTTTACGTACRTGTGTATGTATGTATTCTATGCGCGTGTCCTTTTTGTTTTTATTTTTATTTTTTTTATTTAATCTTCCTCTTTCTTTTTATTTGTTTATAATCCTGTATACGCGTACAAAGTCGGACCCCTTATCGCACACGTCCATTCTTCGATAATTATTATTTTATTTGTTTATTTGTTATTATTTTTTCTTTTTCCTTTTGTTTTTTTTTTTTTTTGGTTTCTTTTTGTCTTTTCGATCAAATCGAAAACACGTACGTGTCCGCCGACACGAAAATTTCATTTGAAATTATTTACTATTACAAATATCATCTGCCCATACACACCCCACCCTACGCCAACCCTACCACCCCTTTTTACGCGAAGTAAACGAAATGAGAGAAGAAGAAAAAAAAATTATTATTTCATCCATTCTCTTTCAAAAAAGAAGAGAAAAAAAAAACAAAACAAAAATACCAAAAACAAAAAGAATAAAAAACAAAGAAATTTTGTTAAACGAACGAACGAGTGTGCCGTATTATTTATTATTCGTCGATTGTTTAATTATATATATATATATATATATATATATATATGTATTTAAATTAAGTTTTTTATTTTATTTGATTTATTTGTTTCTTTATTTCTTTCTTTCTATCTTTGTTTATTCGTCTCTTCTTTTTCTTTGCAAACAAATTTCATTTAAAACTTACGAATTAATTGGAATTACGCATTTACTTTTCCAATATTATCACTTTTTACATTGTTAGATTTTATTTATTTATTTAATTTCATTTGTTCGCTTGTTTTTTTAGGCTGATTTTAGTTTATTTCTTTTCTTTTTTTTCTTTTTTTTTTTTTATTCTCGAAAGTTTTCTTTTGCCTGTTTTTAATGCGATCAGGATCACGTGTAATGAGATGAATTATGTTCCTTTTATTTATTTATTTATTTTTTTTATATCATTATAAATTAATTCATTTATTTATTTATTTATTTATTTATTATAAGTTTTCTTGATTTTCTTCTTTTTCTTCTTTTTATTCTTCTTCTTCTTCTTCTTCTTCTTCTTCTTCTTCTTCTTCTTCTTTTTTATTATTTTTTTTTTTTTCATTTTATTTCATTTTAAATCTTATTTTACGACGACCGAGTGCGCACCCTCTTTCCTTTTCACCCCTCTTTGTGTGTCGGCTATAAGCTAAAATTAATTATAATTAATCGATTAGCTTACTCGTCAATTTTTATCGAATGGCTGGAGCTCCCCACCCCTCTCCCCCCATGCACAGGGTTTTTTTCCCTTTCTTTTCTTCTTTTTTGTTTATATCCAACACCTCTGATGAAATATTTGTTCTATTATTTAATTGTTGTTTTTAAGAAGAAAAAGGGTTGCTTATAATTACCATCTTGCAATTGTTTTCAGTTTTTTTTTTAATTATTTCTCTCTCTCTCTCTCTCTCTCTCTCTCTGTCTGTCTGTCTTTCTTTTATTTTTTTATTTTCTTTTTTTATTCTTTTTTTTTTCAGTTTTTCTTTGACTCTTTTAATTAACTATAATTATAATAATAGGCTTATATGTCATTTTAAACGGCAGTCACACTCGATTAAACGAGATTAAAATTATTATTCTCGTTACGATGTGTTTGTTTTATTTGTTTTATTTTCTTTTTTTTTTTTCTTTTGTTTGTTTGTTTATTTATTTCATTTTATTTTCTTTGGTACTTCATTGGTGCATTGTGCGTGTTCTCGCGTTGTCTCAAATATCTTTTTGTTCATCATAGTAGTTATTATTTCGTCTAGTCCACTCGTCTAAGAAATGTTATTAAAGATCGATTAATTAATAAATTAATTAATTTATTTATTTATTTATTTCTAGTTTTGTTTGAAACAATCGTGCTGCAACGTTGTTTTTTTCTAAAAAAAAAAAAAAAAAATCAATTTTTGTTGTATTCTTTTCTGAATTTTTATTCATTCGTTTGTAAATATTATTATTCATTTAACAAATAATTGTTCAATTACTGTAAAAATTATTTCATCAAGTTGAAATATCAATTTAATTTAAAAAAAAAAAATAAGATAAAGTAGAAGAAAAATCATAAGACGTGTGGTAATACAAATTCTGAATATAAAAAACCCAAAACAAAAGTAGAAAAATAACAAAGCAATTGAATGTTTTAAATTATTAAGGAAGAAATGATTTATTGAATTATTTTAAATAAACATAATTAAAACAAAGGTATATATACTCAAGATGGACCCGGACACTCACATTGAATTTTTATTTCCAAGCATATCGTCCATTCGTCATTGTTATTTCCAATGATGTGCATATAATTTATACAATTTTATTTCATTTTTAGCTTTCTCGTCCTTACATGATTATTATTATTATTATTATTATTATTAGTAGTAGTAGTATTATTTATTATTAATATTAATATTAATATTATTATTATTATTTTTATTATTATTATTATTATTAATATTATCAATATTATAATAATTATTATTATTAATATTTATTATTCATTCTTCCTTTCTTTTTTTACCTTTTCTTTCTTCTTTTCTGTTCTTTTCTTTTCTTTTCTTTTCTTTTAATTTAAATTTAATTTAAATTTAATTTAATTTAATTGTTTACGTTCACACACATCATCATTTTACTTTCCATCGTTTTTCTTTTTTTATTTCTTCTTCTTTCTAACTTTTATTTGTTTATATTTATTCTCTCTCTCTCTCTCTCTCTCTCTCCCTCTCTTTCTATTTCACAAAAGTCATACGCATACACACACACACACACACACACAAATTCGTTTACACTACTCTACATTATCATCGTCATCGTCATCACAATTCGCTGACACGATATACATACGTCGAGAATTAGAGAATTTGGAGAAGGATTGTTGTTCGCTGGTATCAATGATTCTTACAAATTTCTAATCACGCCCAGATAAAAACGATCCTGCTGTATGATTCTCCATTTTATTTTTCTTCGATACATGTATGTTTAACTTATATATAACGCGCGTATATACGAGGCCCGATTTTAATTCATATACCATTTTGAACATTTTATTGCATTTATTATAATTTCATCACTTGTATTGATGAACATTCACTGAAACAATATTTTTGCAACGAATTAAACATTAAACACGTTTTCTTTTTACAAAATTTATATCCGATAGAAATGAAAAGTATGTATCCTTTAATTGGCGTCCATTTTCTCAATGTGTGTAAGATCAAAATGGCGGTGTTAGTCATTCAAAATGGAAGACATTTCAAATGGATTTATATGCACAACTAATAACTTCATTGATTTGAAATAAACACATATACATATATATATATATATATATATATATATATATATATATATAATATAATTATTTAAATTGATATTAAGAATAAAATAAAGTTGAAAGAGTTTCAAAATGGTAAATGAACATAACCTAACCTAGTATATAATATTTATATATATATATAGTATATTATATCATCGTACAAACCTAAAGTCGAGGCTCGTAGTATCCAATTCCTCGAATAATTCCACTTAGTGCTATGACAAATCCGGATGAGCGAACATTTAAGGAAACTAGTATAGTTCGCATAGTAGTCTCTCTGTCTTCCTGAGACCGTATCAATCCCTAACGCGTTGCAGCAATTGGCTGCCACGATAATAACGCGACCCCTCGAGAGAAAAATAGAGAAAGAGAGAGAGAGAGAGAGAGAGAGAGTAAATAAGAGAGAAAGAAGTAGCAGAAGAAGAAGAAAAAGAAAGAAAAAAAAAACTTATATTTATCAGGAAACGAAAGTTTTTTACGCGTTATTGGTTCGAAAGAAAAAAAAAAAAAAGGAAACTATCACGAAAATTCCTTTCAAAACGATCGACGTTCTACTTAATCTCTCTCGGGAACCGTTATCATCATCATTTTTTTATTGTTTCATTTTTTATTGTTTTTTTTTTTTTTTTTTTTTTTTTTTACCGAGACGATAGAATTCTTTGTCCCAGCTTCCCCCACAAATCAACCCCCCCCCACCCTTCAAGTACGACCAGACAAAAAAAAATGTCTTTTTCGTCGTTCATTCGTTCGTTCGTTCGTTCGTTCGTTCGTCCGTGCTTTTTTGTTTAGTAATTTTTACTGCTTTTGTTATTTTTATTGTTTTGTTTTATTTTTTTTTGGTAAATACTTACTTAGATTGTAACCGTTAAGCTCTCTTCTTTCTTTCTCCCTCTCGAAAAGTAATTTAACTACTGAACACACTTTCGTATTTTTTTTTTTTTTTTTGGTTTTGTTTCGTTTTGTTTTTTATTGTTTTTTTTTTTTGTTTTCTTCCTTTCTTTGGTTTTGTTAAAAGAAAAACCTCCCTCCCCCCTACCGACCCCATCCCGTCTCGAGTACATTAAATCGAACTTTTCTAGATTGTATTCTCTTTTTATTTTTATTTTTATTTTTTTTGTTATTTTGTATTTTTTCATTTCTGTTAACTTTAATCTCTATGTTATTTGATTTATTTATTATTTTTTTGTTCTTGTATCGTTGAGTATCATCGATCGATCTCAAACCGAGATCTCTTGAATTTGAACGCGTTTCTTAGCACTACCAGGTGTCCCAGGTTGACGTAAAATACCAGGACAAGCGAGGCCGATATTGGGTGCTGGTGCTTTAGGTGGTGGGGGTGGTTCCGGTAGATCCTCGTTTTCATCGTCATCGTCATCGTCATCGTCACTGTCAAGTACACCAGTGTCGATCATATGATCGTCATCCTGCATCCTAGCAATGGTAGCATCAATACAGGGCGATGGTGTTCGTGTTCTTTGAACGCAAGGATTTCTACTGTAAGACGGTGGTTCGAGGACCCTTTTACCACCACCAGGTGGAGGTGAACATTGAAATTCTTGAAGTTGAAGTTCCAACTCTTGTACGAGTTTAGCTTTGTGTCCTTGGGGACTCGAACCTGGCGAATCGATCAGATTCATCGAAGACAATCTTTGTTTACCAGCAGGACCACCACCACCACCACTACCACTTATCTCGATACCTGAACAACCAGCTTCCAATAATTCCTCTTTCTTCTTATCACCGAAACTCGATAATCCGGAGGTCCCGGACGCGTTCCTGTCCCGTTGATGATAAATACCCGCGAATATGATGATGTTTAATAGCAATAGGAATATACCAACGGCAATGGTAACTGTTAAGGCGGTTGTATAACTCTGATAATAACTGGAAGTTAATTTTCTTAATAGATTGTTAGGTCCCGGGCCTAAATTGTTAGATTGTTGCAATGTTTTCGAAGTACTAGCTATGGTGGTAGATGTTGCATTAGGTGTACACTCCGTAGTAGGTGTCGTATGTGAAACCGATGATGGCTCGGTAGGTGAGGGCATTGGCAATGGTGGTGCAGGTAACGGTAGGGCCAGACTTTGCGGACGTACCGCACCCTCGTACAAATTTGGACTATCCGCCAGATGATGATGACGCATGTTCAATTCGTAACCAGGCCTGTGCAACTGTGGTAACAGATTCAACCAAAGCGACATCTTGTGACCCCTGTAGTGGGAACGTAGCTTCGTCACGTGACCTGCCTCCAGATAAAGCTGATTTATCGAATCGTACGATTCCCAAAAGGGTGGACTCGTCAGATCGTTGTCCGTATCGGATGTCAAAGAACTTGCTCGGTTAGGATCTCTGAAATCAAATTCATTTTGTCCGCCTTTTTCTTTTTCTTAAACTACTTCGTTATATTTTATTTTAATTTTTTTTTTTTAACGCATTTTAATGTCTTTAAAAAATGTTACAAGATCTAATTAACATTAATCATTTATATGCTGTATAAAAAATAAATTTTACCAATAATAGTTAATATAAATTATTAAATTTAATAATTTATATATTTATTAATAAATTATATATAATTTATATAACCTATAAACTATTATCAATAAACGTTAGAAATTAAATCCAATTGTTAATAACTTAACACCTTAAGCTACTTATCGAAAAGTACAAACTATCCCTTAACCCTAAATTAAAATAAAACTGATGTATAACCGAACGATGCAAATGGGGTTAATTACTAAAGTACCAAAATAATAAATTGAAAAAAATCCCTAAAAAATGTTTAAAGATCATAAGACTTGTGTCCATTTCTTACAACGAATCAAAATGAAAGAAAGGAATTAAGTCTAACGATCCCTCTATCTATCTATCTATCTGTCTGTCTATCTCTCTCACTTTCCTTTAACAGTTCTATCGACAAATTCAACGTTCGAAGACGAGATCTAATTTCGTGGGAAGCCTGAAGGTTGCTCGCCAATTACCGTGTGAAACCACGGAGAGTAGTCTGTGAAGGTGTGGGCAGAAAGGGTAAGATCGCAACTTTGGAATTGGAAGGTCCCGTATAACAGCTGCTTCACAGCATCGTTTCTCTTAAAGGGAACAGAGAAGGTACCACAATACTTGAAGTAACTTTATCTCAGAGACTACTACCATTTCTCAGAAACTCCTCTGGTCTTCTTGGTCCTTCCCACTTCCTTCAATTTTCAAACAACCCTATTTTCACACCTAAGAAGAACTGTACCATTCCCTATTGACCATTATCAATGACTATGGTTAGTAAGCAATTTTCATGTGGTATTCCAATTGTTAAAATATTATAGGTTGGAGAACACCTGATGGATAGAATCAAGTTTCTAGTAAAGGTGAGGGTAGATAGGTGTATTGGGCTAATGATGGGTGAGGTGGTGAGGAAAGGGAAGGGGACTATTCAAAAGCAACTAACGTCTTAGGTTAAAGCGAATCATAAGTAAGGTATGCAAAGTTGTTGATTTCATATTGAATCCTAATACATGTCTAACTAGTTAGGTTGGTAGGTTGATAGGTTGGTAGCTGGTTTATGTACAACTACCGCGATTGCTAACTAATTGAGATGGCAAATTAGAGGGGTACGTACGATACCGAACTAATTTCCTTTGATCATTCTGCAAACGGACGTTAATTGCAAATACTCCTACTACTCGACTTAACTGAAGAACACCAGCTCCTTTATAACCTCAAAACACATGCATACATATACATATGTATACACATACACTGACAGAGAAATCCTGTTCTAACTGTTGTGTACCAACGTAAGCTTAAGTAGATAGGAATCGATATTGATTTAATCGAACATAGAAGATTTACATTGATTAATGTTGACGATGAAAAAAGTACACGTTGAAATTTGAATTGATTTAAATATTGGAATTGTTTAAAGAAGAAACTTAGAATTAGGTAACACAGATTTGTTAAATAAATTTGTATTTTTATAAATTTATTATTCTACTATTATTAGAAATGGTTATATCTAAGATTAGATCTACAATTTTGCTATATAATATTATTATATTTTGAAAATGAACAAGTAGATAATAACAAGGACTCATATCGTTTCCTTTTATCAGCATACACGATTCAACACATGTATATATATATATAGCTGTACACTTTAAACCCCCACTAGAGATAAATCGACCCTATGGATTCGAAATATTCGTGCACGATAATATCAGAATATCATTAACTGTTTATGCATCTCTTGAGACGTTTTAACACAAACGAGATCACGATTAGGTAACCTAGGGTCAATTAACTATAACAATGTTGTATTTATCTTATATACGTGAACAGGATAGATATACATCTCAATTTAAATTGAGAAAAGAATCTAATTGACACGAGTGAAGTACAAAAGGTTTACTAAATTTTCATATAAAATTTAATCAAAGTAAAACTAATTGTTTTTTAAAATTCTTTTTGATCCAACACACGTTCAATGTTATAAAACATAACTTAAAAATAATAAATAATAATTTATACACAAGCACAGAATATATATTTTAATTAATTAATTAATTAATTAATAAATTACTTACCCTCGTCTAACAAAGTTGGCCAAATAATGTACGAGTAATCTCGATAGGTTTTCATCGGCAAGACTATAATTTGACGATGAATACAAATTAAAATCACCACGAAGTAATGGTATACCCATGAGATATGGTAATTCGTCCCCCTTTTGACTTGGTTTGTCACCCGGTTGAAAATGTAAGAAGTAACCCCGTCCACCAGAAGTTGAATGTAATAGGGCCAATCTTAAGAGTGGTGCAGCTACTTGACCATCACCGAGTAATGATAGAAGACCTTCACAAATGGCTGATGCATTTTGTTCACCTCTTTCCCAATCGGTGTATTCGTTACGTAATGTCGAATAAATTTCATGCAGGTGATAACGATAAGTGTTTCTCACATAGGTACGAAGGATCCTATCCCTTCTGGTCTCGTTTAACCCGTTCTAAAGCATTCAAATATCTTTAATGTTTAATAATTTGTTTTATGTAGAATTATTATATTCTATAATAATTTATAATATTTTTATTTAATATAAATACATGTGGAGAGAACATTTTATTTAGGAATTAAATATTTTAGTTAGGTGATAAATATTAATTTTATTTAATCTATTAAAATATCTAATTTATTTTAATATTAATTTATAGTTTTTGGTGTAGTTTATATTAATAAAATTATTAATATTAAAATTATAGTGTTTGATGTAGTTTATATTAATAAAATTATTAATATTAAAATTATAGTGTTTGATGTAGTTTATATTAATAAAATTATTAATATTAAAATTATAGTATTTGGTGTAGGTTATATTAATAAAATTATTAATATAAAATTGTAGTGTTTGGTGTAGTTTATAATAATAAAATTATTAATATAAAATTATAGTGTTTGGTGTAATTTTATATTAATAAAATTATACTATTTGCTCAAACTTATATTAATAAAATTATTAATATTAAAATTATATTTATTTTCAAAGTGAATCTATATATTATTATTATTTTTATTATTATATTAATAATAAAAATCAATAAAAGAATTGTATACATTTAACTGAAGTAATGATACTATTGTAATAACAGTATTATACCCCTGATGTTAAATCTGTGGTTGGGAAGGGACGTGAAAGGAAACTTGAGATTAAAATATAAGATAATAGATATTTACCTGTAAATCCTGATCGGTTAAATTCAACCAAGCTTCGTCGGACGTTAAACCGAGTAAAAGATCCCGATCACCGAAATTGGCAAATTCCGCACCGGGTCCTGGAACTAGGGGCATCAATCCCGCGGAAGAGGCAGTGGGCTGAAAGTTCTAACAAATTTTTTCCCACACCCCCCAATTTCTATTTTGCGGTATTAATAAATTTATATTATAAATTTTCTTCTTTTACATTTTCATTTACAATAGTCAAGGGAATGGATATTGGATTGTTCAAAAGATTATTAATAAGGTAAAAATAATGTATAAAGTAAATGAAATACTTGTTCAATATTTATAAACCACAAGTTTCAAATCTTAAATCAACTATGGTTTGTTTTTTTTTAAAGAAAAAGAAGAAATTAAATAAACAATTTTTGAAATATTTTTATTATGAAATTATGTTTAATATTCTTGAACAATTAGATACAATTACTTTCAATTCAATCTTTAATATAGACTAATTCATAAGTTAATTATTTAATAAAATACAAGAGATTATTTATTTTATATTAAATTGACAGCTATGAAATTTGTAATGTGTGTCACATTATCAACTGAATTTTTCGACAAATTAATTTAACATTGACTAATATATCAAATGAATACTCAATCAAATATATAATACTTTCTTTACATTCTATAATTTGAATTTGGTAATTAAACGTAAATCAATATTTGTTATATGAAAAGATTAATGATTAGAAATTGAAGTAACATGTTTAATACAAACCTGATTTATCGGATGCGGGAGGACGGCTCCGTCGACGAACGGTGCAAAACCAAAAGTGAATCTTGGGGGATCGAGTTTAACTTCTAAAAGAGAATCGAGACTTCGCAAACGTAGACACGGTGCAATATCGTCTGCTTCGTCGACGAATGAACATCTGGTTTGTTCAGCAACATGACGTTTCACCATCAATGGGTCCCGTTGTATTGCCCATGGTGAAAGGGCCGAACCACCGAGTAATATTACTCTCTCCACCAATTCTACAAATTTCTTTATTCTTTTTCATCTTCATAATCGTAATCTTCAATATTATCTTTAAATATTAATCATTATAATGAAATTCAATCTTTGCATTTTTTTCAAAATGATTTCAATTTTGTTAGAAATAATGTAGAAAAGTTTTAGAAGATTTAAAAACACATTTCATTAATTGATCAAATAACTTGTTTATGGTTTCAAACAATTTTTTAATCAATTCTGTTTAGTATAATCTTTGAAATAT